AGAAAAAATGTCTGGTTCCTCTGCTATTGACTGTCAAAGTTCTTGAAAAAAATATATGTTTTTTGTAATATCTGGAGAATGCTATGATGGATTTTAATGAAACTTGCTGTGGACTTGTTCCTAAGCAAAACTCATGTTTTGATGAAGTAACCGCGTCCATCTGCCATGGGCTAGTGGTAAATTCTTGAGTGTCTTGGTACAAGAATTACCAGAACTTTTTATTTGGTGGCTGGAATCAGTTCATTTTATTTTTATTGATGCATCAGTTCTTTTTCGAGATTTTCGTGTTCTTGGTAAAATCTTGTAGCATTCATAGTTTTTACACAACATTTTTTTTTTCTCAATTTTAGGCAATCATTATCACTACTACTCAAGTACAACAACTACTCACTACAATTACTACTATCGTAGTAAGCGATGATGTCATTTTATATTAAATGAATTGTTACTCTTTTGCCGTTGGTCGGACAGTCCGGCACATTCGTTTCGAATGGGGTTTTCTAATGAAGAGATGACCGACTGATCAAAGTCTTAGGGTTTTGCCGAAGACAACTTGCATGGGAGTGTACGCGTCTATGCGGCGCGATACCCAAATCGACGGGTTCCAGATTACCGATTTACATGGATTGAAAAGAGTTTACGGGAGACTGGGCAATTTGGTGTTCGAGCCGTTGACCGTGTGGGTCGCCCTCAAGTACGAAATGAAGCCGTTGAGGGAGACGTTTTAAATAGGGTCGCTGAAGATCCAAATATCAGTACTCGCCGTCTGACAGTGGAATTTGGCGTACCAAAAAGTACAATAAATCGCATCATAAGACGGCAGCTCCTCCATCCTTATCATGCGAAGTCTATTCAGGAGTTTTTACCACACCATTTTTAGAGAGGACTTCAATTTTGCCGCTTTATTTAAGGAGCGCGGGTACGTGATACAAATTTCACCAGTCGAGTTTTATTCACTGATAGAGCTGGTTTTACCAGAAGTGGTATTTTTAATTCACGTAATTTCCACCATTAAGCAGAAGAAATCCCCCATGCGAGGAGTATTAACCACTTTCAGGTGGAATTTCCAATAAACCCAGGAAGAATTATTGCGTAGGATTCAAAATGAGGCGGACGTAATACGGAATGATCCAAAAATGTTGAGGAGGGCTCAATTCAATTTCAATCGAAGGATCCAGCTATGCATCCAAGAAAGTGGGGGGCATGTCGAACATGTCTTGTAATTCCACCATCATCTATCGTATCTATGTAACTGTCATCCAGTTTCAATAAAGAGAATTATGTATTTCCTAAGTACGTCTTTACATTTTTTGAGTGTTAACAAAAAATAAATCTAATGAAGTAAAATGATATTCAATCCATCGCATTGCGACAAACTTTAAAATTGTGACCATTTTACTTTCAATATTGATGTCCTAGGTAAAAGAATTGGCAATTATTATTAGAGAAAGCTGATTCTTGTAAAAGGGCAGATTTACTGCGATACATCTAAAATTGTTAAGTCGCAACGAAACAGAAAACATTTTTTTTGCGTAAAAACTATGAATGCTACAAGATTTTACCAAGATACTTACTACGATAGTAATGATTGTAGTGAGTATTTGTTCTACTTGAGTAGTAGTGATAATGATTGTCTAAAATTGAATTTTTTGTTTTGCGTAAAAACTATGAATGCTACAAGATTTTACCAAGAGCACGAAAATCTCGAAAAAGGATTGATGCATCAATAAAAATAAAATGAATTGATTCTAGCTACCAAATAAAAAGTTCTGGTAATTCTTGTACCATGACACTCAAGAATTTACCACTATCCCAAGGCGGATGGACGCGGTTGCTTCATCAAAACATGAGTCTTACTTAGGAACAAGTCCACAGCAAGTTTAATTAAAATCCATCTTAACATTCTCCAGATATTATCAAAAACATATTTTTTTTTCGAGAACTTTGACAGTTAATAGCAGAAGAGCCAGACATTTTTTCTTAATGGAAGTTAGGTCAAATCGTCTTCTTTTGAGCCAAAGAATGTCGCAGTACCTTTTTGATGCGTGCGGGTGGCGCTCATTCCTGTGCATTAGCTTCCTTGCATCCTTGCAAATGTGTGACATTGTTATTCGCATTGCATTTTTACTCCATCTACACAATTTTGTCTGAGAAGCTAAAAAAGGAGTAAAAGTTGCCAAAACAGACCAATAAACCATCTGCCGGGGCTTTTATAATCGTAACTTTATTTCAAAAGCTAAAAATAATTCGTATCAACACAAATTTTCAATTTTGATAGAAACCACTTTTTAATGTAACTAATGCCTGCTCCTTTGGAATTTTTTATAAATATTATTTTGTATTTGTTACGTCTACTGTAGATATTAAACATATTCTCAGTTGATATAAATAACTTAAGAAGGTGAAAAAACTGGGTCATGCCATTATTTGGATATTTCCAACCAATAATTCAACATGCTTTAGTTATCATTTCCGGTATTAACTATATGCTGTTATTTAAATTAATTATAATAAAATACTTTTCTATAAAGTAGTTTTGTCAAAAATCAGAAAAGTAATTAGGGTTTGTTAATACTGTTAAAATATTCGATGGCAAAAAAATGTATGCATCATATGGGAAAAATGTTTACAATTAAATTGTGAAAAATATCGATATTGGTAATCATTTCGTAATAAAAAAAGCCGTGTGTTTTTAGAAGTTTGGCAGGAAATTATAAAAAAAAATAATAATAAAAACCACGTAGCAAAAATAACAATAATATATGAAAATATGATATTTAGAATTAAATTTTATTTTTTATTTTATTCTATTATATATTTATTATTTAAAAAGCGAAAAATAAAAACGACAAATTTACTATGCGCTAAAAGCGTACATATTTTTGTGCAACAATTTCTCAATATTTTTAATTTTTTATTTTTCGCTAGAACCCTAAAGACAATGGCATTGTTCGACATTTTTTCAGAGTTTTTAACGACGACTGTAAATATCGATATTTTTCAAAACCTAATATTAACAGTTTTTTTCTTATGATGAATATATTACGCCTGTTACTGTGCATGGTGGGCCAATTACTTCATTTTTGGGAGGTTTGTCATATTTCCCAAGGGGATTGTTAAAAAGTAATGAAGATGTGTGACTTGCTAGATTTTCAACAAAAATTGAAAAGTTCCCGATATATTGATTTGTTTAAGAGATACCTAAGACCACCCGTTTTTAATCGTTTTTTTTTGTGATTCTTTTATTTTCATTAAAATTTTTTTTTGTGAAGAAGCCAGCGACGTTTGCGATATTTTTCTGTAATTGTCAGTTTTTACATTATAACCTAAACATTTATTGTTTGAAATGAAACAATTTATATAATTTCCAGTTTCTGATATCTGCATCAAATTTGATGACGCATGATATTTATATAGAAATTTATTTTCCAAGTATCAACATTAAAATTCATTACCCCCTTTTTTATATATTATGACTCCCTTACTGAATCAAGAAACAGTTGGCAAAAAAATAGTTTTTGGTGCTCATACCATATAAAAGTTTTTCACAATTATAATAATGCTACACCATCGGAAAGCAAATTGTACGATGTACGCCGATATCGAAATCTGAAAAATATATAGAACATTTCATTAGAAAATGTATGTCTGAGTAATAGCTAGTAAGTTCTAGAAAAATATCGTTTCCACCACTGGATTGAAAATAAAAGAAACTGCATAAAAATCCTTGTAAACAAACCAAACATTTTTACAGGTAAAAACTTCTATATTCTACATTATAAAAAAACGACAAAACGATAATAAAAAATTTCACAGATAAAATAGAACGACAATATATCATAACTTAAAAACGCAGATTATCTTTAAACGAATCGGTATATCCAAATACGGTTTTCACGGCTCCATTTTTCTCGAATATCGAGTCCGTGACATCGCAATTACTTTTTCCATATCTTTGGAAATATGAGACCTCCTCCCTAAAGTGTCGAATTAGTCCACCCTGTACATACACGGCCAATCTTAAATGTGTACATGCAGAACGTGTAAATAATATTTTTTGAGAAAAAATAGAAACAAATGAAGTTAAATTTAAAATAAATAAAATAATGCTTAACTTTTAATATAAAACTTGTTTAGAACCGCTGACATCACTGTGGAATTTACGCGTAACATAGATTAATTGTTAGTCCAGTCGAATTAGATCTTAAACGCCGAAAACTTGAAAAAAATATTAGTAGACGTTTTATTCACTTTATGAGATTTAAAAAATTGACGCTAAGTTAGCAAAATTAGTTATTTTATGTTGTAAGCAATTAAATTACCTACAATTGAAAGTACCTAAAGTCATATTTCACCAATTTGTTAACTGTAAAATAAAGGTCGAACGCGGAAAAATCAGTTTTCGAAAATTGCGCATTATTATTGTAAAAAGCGATGGATGTTCATGACAATGGAAAAGAAGGTAAATGCAATGACCAACGTGTGATCCAAAGGCCGTTTCGATTGACGCTGAAATTGTTGCTTCGGGTATTTGTTAATTAATTTCGTTAGATTTTTTGCAACTAATTGTTTAATTACTAAACGTTAATTTGTAGACATAGGTTCTAATTGGTCCAAAGAAACGTATCGAAAAAGAAAATTTTCAAACACTTGAAATTAAGTTGCTCTTTACAACAAAGTAGGATGTGCAAAACAGCGTTATAAATAAATTGTCCCAGGGTCAGCCAAAAGCCGCTCGGGAATTCCCTCTTTTTCAATATATCCATGTAGATGAATGGATTAAAATAAAATAATAATCTGTAATACTTTTACTTTTAAAAAGTTACTTACACTGATGTTATTGACATCGCTAATTATATCCGCAGTTAAAATACATGTGCACATTTAAGATCCACCCTGTACAAATCGGATGTCATTCGAAATAGCCCGTGCAAGTACAGGCCAGCACCGAGTGGCTTTTGGTGGCTGCTTGCAGTGTAACCGGATCACACGGTACTCACCGGTAATGAGCACGGTTTGTCCAAAACTACTATGTCTTCGTCAACGTGTATTAACTTGATTGGGTTTGCTAACACAGGGGTCTCATGTCTGTAATAGACCGACATAAACATCAGACATGTTCAGCTGGCACACCAACACCTGAGTGTCTTTTGTCCTATCATCACTTATTGTCCCTATTTAATTGTGGCTTTACACAAAACATCTAATCAACAAATGGGCCTCGGCTCGAAAAAGAGGCGTCATTTCACCACATTATTATACTTGCTCTGGAATATGTCATCTCATATTTTGTTGTTGTTAGTAAGTATATTGTTAAGAACAGAGTGAAAGGTGTAATATGAAAGAACACAATATTATGTCTTAGTACAATAGTGTTTCAGGATACTGGTGATTTGTGTATCATTCTTACGTACGAGTGCATATTATTATTATATTATATACTTTAAAAATGGAATTTTAGTTGAAAATGTTATTGCAAATTTATATTTATAAAACGTACTAAAAACTATTATTATTAGTCTATTAATATATAAACTTTTTCTGATACCTCAAAGTGCTACTTTCAATAAAAATATTACCTACAAACTCCGAACAAACGTAAAAACACTAGTAAATCATATTTTGAAATTAAAATAGAGTAAAAAATGATAAACACTGCATTTTCTATTCGATGCTGTAAAATTAAAAGTTCTAAAATTAAATTAAATTCTAAAATTAAAAAAAAAACGTAGGCATTTTAAGGATTAGTACATTACACATTTTTGAGACATTTTAATTTCTAAGGTAAAAATTACTATCAAGTTCGCCCTGAATGTAAAACTGTAAAGTGTATTTTCACTAAATAGTACAGATTGAGAAACCTCTTATAAATATTAATTTGAATTACTTTTCCATCTCCGTAGAAGAAAACAAAACTGTTTATTTAACATGTGATTCTAACCATATAAATAATGGTATAATTCCGAATAATACATTTTCGAAATTAAATAAGTAACAGTCAAATGTTTTTGTTCAAATGGCACACTATATATTTTTTTTATCAATTCTGGAAGATATTTTTTGCGTTTTCTGCGTTCAACTATGTAAGAATACTTTGATTAGAAATATTGCTAGAAAAACAGAAACAAATAAATGAATCCTACTTTCAGTAACTTTATTCTGAAAAATGATAACCAACTGCGGAAACAACTGAATTTTGACGTTTCTAAATAACGGTTTGTCAAAATAATTGACATTTTGTATCTACCTATTCTATCTATAACTAATCATAACATGAATACTTACAGTAACCAAGAAAAACTAAATATGATTTTAATTTATGGAGAGGACCGAAAGAACGCTAAAGCTCTCAGGTATTTATACCAACATCATTCTCCGCAGAAAACTTCCAACAGATAAAATTTTTGGAAAGTTAGCCTGGAATTTGGCGGCAGATGGAAGTTTTCAAAGGAAAAGAAGAGTTTTTAAACCCAGAAGGGCAAGAGATGAAGAACATTCGATAAGGATGTTAAACTGCCTGCTAGATCTTCGGATCTCACTCCTATAGATTTCTTTCTTTGGCCTTACCTAAATGATACTGACGACCTCAAAAACAGAATAAGAGTAGAATGTCGGAGATTAAATGAAGAAACACCAGAATGTGTTTATGCAGAGCTATTCTGTGTGTGAGAGCAAATAGAAGTCATTTTGAACATTTGACATAAGTATTGTTTTAAATTGTTATATTATTGTTGTATTAAAAATAAAATATGTTACTTTAAAAAACATAGTAACTTATTTCCGCAGCTGGTTAACATTTTTCAAAATAAAGCTACGAAAAGAAGGGTTCATCTTTTTTGCTGTTTTTATAGCAATATTTCTAATAAAACTGTAGACTTCCTTACATAGCTGAACGCAGAAAAATATCTTCTAGAATTAGTACAAAAATATATAATGTGCCATTTGAACAAAAACAGTTGACTATAGTAATTTTGACATATGTTACCATGGAAATGATCTAATAATGTCATTTGATAGAGTTTGAGCGGCGATTTAAAAATATATCAGGTTTGTTATAGCTATTTATTAAAATAAAAGAGATACAGGGCCGCGAATACCAAACTGAAACACCCGGTATAAAAATGTTTATTATTACTAAAAATGTTTCGATTTTTTTCATACAAGTTTGCTTTGATATAAAAATTAATAGTGCACTCTTATCTGATTTATAATCACTACTCTTACTTTTATTCTAAAAATAATTTTATATGCCTTAATGCGGACTCCAAGGAGACTGCAATAAAAAAGAGCAAGGCTCCAAATCCCGGGTCCGAATCGTTCTTACCTGGACAATATGCCCGTGTAGAGCAGCTATACCTGATTTGTCTTGGCAATTGCTCTTAACTTGCATTCAGATAAAATCTTGCTTTTTACACACTGCTTTGTATTTATAAATGCATGATTGAAAATATCGAAAATTTTTAAGTTTTTTGTGAAATACGGTTTTCACAATCGTTACTTTTCAAATAAGAACAATATGTAACAATTTATAGAAAAACATCAATTATTCATAAAATTTCATTAACAGAATTGACATAATAACCAGAATATAAATGTATAAAGTTGAATTTATAAACATATGATTAATTTAATGCCAATGCAGCGCCAACTTAAATTTCTAGTCAAACTTACTTTTGTGTGACATGGCATGCTTTTTCTTAAAGATCTGAGCTAGCAGGTTTTCCAAGCTTAATTTAAGGTAGCATGTTTACTCAGCTCAATCTCAGGTAGCATATTTTCCATACGCAATTTTAAGTAGCTCTTTGTAAAACAAAATTTTCTTTATGTCACATTATTATCCAATGTAGGTATAGGTGCAACAAAATGCATACATTATAACTTGGAACAACCAACCAACTTGGAACAAGAGCATCATTTCATAAGATTTTCTAATGATTTTTTGTAAAAATTACAAATTAAGCACTCAGGTGCTAAATTGAAATAAAGCTATGGCAAAATATTAAATAACAAATAATTTAAAAGTCAAGTGTTTAATTCTAGAAAAAATGTCCTGAACGAAGAAATATACCATTATTTTTGTGACTAGAACCACCTCCTAAATGAGTTGCACTTATTTTTGGGACATACTGTGAGGAATGTTTATAATATACCTATTTAATTAAACACATTATGAACATTCCATTTAACTAAATAAAATCTCAAATTCTAAACCATATTTTGAAGAAACACCCTCTATACTTTACCTTTAAAACACATTGTACATTCTAAAAAGTACTGAGGCATTATTATATAATCGACGAAACAGATAAGAAAATATAAAAAAAATATTGATAATGATAAATATTTTTTTATAAGTACTTAATTAAATGCCAAGAAAATAACTTGGTGTGTATTAAAATTAGATATTATTCTTAAGAAAGCATAAAGTTAGCGGGTGATACATATAATAGCCATGCACGGACATAGGCAAATAATAAGGCAAGGTATAAGTGTAGTCAAGGCAGTTCAAGAAGTCGTACATAGATAAATAATAAGTTGGCAGTCTTATGGCCACTTACAGGGATAGAGGCGGGTTTGTTGACCACCACAACGTCCTCATCCATGTGCACTATGGTGATCGGTTGGCTAGTGACTGGTACTTCATGTCTGTAACATCAGAGGCTCAGTACGTCCAAGGTACAGCAAATTATCACGACAAATTATTTTCGCAAGGACAAAAAAGAACAAACTATGTAACTACATCGTATTAGTTCAACACTACATATTCTTGGAGGAAAATTTGGCAAAATAAAATGGCAAAAGTTGTGGCGTGGGTGTTTCAGTTGTTTTGCTGCTACTATACAGGGTATTATAAAAAATTGGATTAACCACAGATTTTTTGAGCAAAAACAATAGGATTTTTCTTGTGTCACTTTTCACTTGAGTGTTTATATTTCAAGATACAACAGTCAAAGCTACAATTTCAAAAAACAATTTTATTAAAAAATTGTTATATGATAAAATTTTGTTTTTATCTTATGCCCAAACATGTGTAATTTCGATAAAAAAATTTGAACAAGTGTACTTGTACTTACTACATATCCTGGATTGCATCCAGTAAAGGTCTGTGTAAAATTTCAATGGAATGTGTTAGATAATATCAGCGTTATTAATAAATTTTCAAAATCCTAACTTTGAGACCGTCAATCTTAAGAAACGACTAATTGAGAAGTTGCATAAGGAGAGTCCAGTAGCTTTCATCCAAGTCGCCTGTGGTTTAATCTACTTTTTGTAACATCATGTATATATCAATGTACATTCCATAAACATTTTACATATAAAGCATCTTCTAAGCTAATAGTCCGGTCAAATTAGTCATAAAAATAGTGGTCAAATAACGAAAATTCCGACAGAGCTAAATTTTGGTGGAGACCTTGGGTACACCGTTAGAAATAAAGTGGCGAAAGTCTCCATCGATCCCATGTGTGCTAAAAAAGTTATTCGGGGTCAAAGGTCAAAATTTAAGGATTTTTGGATTTTTTTCGAAAACGGTAAGTTTTATCAAAAAAGTAGTCCTGACAAAAATTACAGATCTTAAAATTATCTGCAAAAATGGTTCTTATATTTTTTTTTAAGAATTACCATTCCTAAGATATCGTGATTCTAAAAGTTGAAGGAGTCACGTTCTACATGATATGCACATATATGCCACGTATAGACATAGTCAGGCACTTAATACAATTAAAAATGCTTATTTGTGTCACTTATATGTATAAACTATACTATTCTGAGAATATACACTCAAAAGAAACTCAGTCCCTTAGTCAATCCCCTCTACCCGCATGGCCTTGAATAACATCTAGTTAAACTTTTGTAAAAAATACACGAAACAAGTACAACTATCTTGTCTTCCTCCAACATCGGCTTCTGCTAATCAACACTTGTATCGAGTATACTAACAAGTTCAGACATGGCTAGGCAATCAACTAAACCCAGAAGACTGGGGTTGGAAATTAACAGATAATACTTTGGAACCGATTCAAACTTTACTCCAACCTGCGCCGGAAAAACTCCTAAACACTATTTTGCAATTGCAAAAAAGGTTGTAGTGATAAATGTGGCTGTAGAAGAGTAGTAGTGAATACAACAGACAAAGATTCATGTGATTTCGATGAAGAGACAGCTGATTCATCTTCATTTGAACAATTTATGAACATCCAGCAAGAAGAAGAGGAAGTAGAAGAAGAAGAAATCGAAGAAGACATGACTGTTGAAGTCAACTTTGAAGAGTATGAATCAGATTAAAATATCAAAAGAAATCAGAACTACAGTTAAAGTCAATAACCAATATCAATATCAATAATCATCATGCAGTTAAAAGAGTATTGTCCCTGAAAATTCCGTCATAACAGTTCGTGGAGCAGGCCTACCAGGGAAGCCAAGTTAAAAAAAACGCGCCAAAGTACACTACCTCACAGGTAGTGTGGAAATGTGTGCATATCATGTAGAACATGACTCCTAACTATTAAAATCGTGATATTTCAGGAATGGTGATTCTTAGAAAAAAGTATAAGGACCAATTTTGTAGATAATTTTAAGATCTATAATTTTTGTCTGGACTACTTTTTTGATAAAACTTACCATTTTCGAAAAAAATTCAAAAAACCTCAAATTTTGACTTTTGACCCCGAATAACTTTTTTAGCACGCATGTGATCGATGGGGACTTTTGATACTTTATTTCTAATGCTGTATACAAGGTCTCCACCAAAATTTAGCTCTGTCGGAATTTTCGTTATTTGAAATGTCTATTTTGAGTGGACTATAAAGCTGCTTCAATTTTTAGATTTACATTGTTTTAGTTATTATATTACTTTTTATTTTTACATACAATATTTATAATGACTAAAACTTTTCTTCTTAACAAAATTTTGCTGGTCCATGAGGTACTGGATTTAAAATCAGAGGAGTACTTTTTTAAAACTTTTACAGTTTCTATCTATTCTCTAAATTAATGCTTTACGTAAAATAAAATAAAAATTTCTTTGACTTTTCAAATCAGTAAAAGCTAAGATTTATGACACAATAAAAAACCGAGTTTATTTCGGTATCTCTTTTTTCTATATCAATTTGCATTAGATATAAAGAAAAAATAATGGTGGCACAAAAAATAAATGCAAAACAAACTGAGCAATCTGAACCCATTTGGCATATCACACATCTAGAATATGTATAGGTACTAAATCATAAATAACAAGGCAGAATGTGATTTTATTTTGCCAACAAGAAAAAACAAGTATATAAGTATGTTAGGGCAAATTTAAAAAAAGTAGACTCGAAATTATTAATTCGCTATATAAGAAAATTTTCATATATTTTGTAAAAAATTTTACATTTGGAGTATGATTATGATTTATTAAGAAGCTTCAATAAATTTTGCCATTATGGACATTTTGTTCAGTGGTTGAACTTTGTCAAGTACTGATAAATTATTCTATTCACATCATGTACATACCCATATTTTATAAAATATAGGTAGCTATACTAGATTAAAAATATTTTATATATTTAAATAAATATAATTATGGATTCAATTAAGCAAATGTGATTTATTACCATTGTCTAAACCAACACGCTCAACCTTTTATGGCGATGAACAGATCAAAGCTTCTAGTTAGCAAGAAGTGGAAGAAATACAAAGTAAAATGTAAATTTTACCATTTACTGCATCATTTGGTAAGAAAGAATTGCATAATTATTTATTCTACATAGTTTATAAAGTTTTGTTATAAGAAACTTATTTCTGTCACTTAAAAGTCCTTCAATGTAGTTCTAGGACTATTTCCATTAAGCGGCGATGTTTACGAGGTCTCTTCAGAAAATAACTGAATTTTATTGTTTTATCAACAATCCAAGAACACGTGTGGTTATGCGCAAAGCAACGATGCCAATCGTATCACTAAATGTCTCCATTAGCACATAATTAAAAATATTCGGTTATTTTCTGAACAGACCTCGTAAATCAGTTCAATGTCCTGAATCGACCTCTGTTATTTACGTCATGCACGATTTACTCTCGAACCTTATTAATTACAAATTGATCATTAGGTATAGCATGTCCAATGTTTTGAAACGAAATCTGTCACAATTATTTAATAACAAATTATCAACCGATGGCTAGTTTATATGAAACTATAGCAATCAAATAAATTACACAAAATCATTTTAAACACGTTACAATCGTATTTGTATTTTAAATACAGTGCGCATTATGTGCATTATACATTTACCTATTCATAATGACAAAGGAAACAATCATCCATTCATTACAGCTATAATCAGGTTTTACAACAAAACGAGCACTTTACAAAATTATAGCGGGGATGCAATTATAATCTACATAAAATTGTCTGTGGTTATCGCTCGACTATATTCCAATATTCGGTAAATAATGGCAGCCTACTGAAATCATATTCCACTTCTGTTATGTTGGAATATCGACAACACACTTTTAAAACAACTAAAATAGGTAAAAATAAGCAAACATTTGATTTTATAAAAAATTTAATAGTTATAGAACAGAATTATTTTTTCAAGGCAAACAATGTGAAATTACTAAGGGCATTCATGCTAAGAAAGCAATGTAACAATTTTAAATCACACTCTTTGTTAATAAAAAAAACAGTAATATTCTTCTTTAGGAAATTTCTAATGACTCTAAGTTCGATATAATTTAAATTAGTAAATAATGTTAGAAAATGTATCCCGTAAAGGTACAATAATTGTAGGTAGTTGCTTAAACTAATACAAAAGTATTGAGAAACATCTTTAGAAAAAGTAGTGAATTGAACAAAAGTATAAAATTCGGTGAAAACAGATACAATACTTTTAGATTTGCTTCAATCACTGCAACTAACAAGTAGAAGCTTTTAAACTGCAATTTAAAAGTGTCCAAATATTCTAGAAATTGGTGTGGCTTAAATTTTGAGAGTACTATCAATTTTCTCCTACATATGTTGCGTCAAGATAACGTTCCATTCCTTTTGATTAAAGATACAGTGTTCTGAAGTTAATTTAATTAATTTAATTAAAAGAATATTACTAGATACATCCAAAACAAATGAAACATCGTATATATTGAAATTTGGCTTTAAATATTCTGGTTCCATTAAGTTATATAGGGCAATCAGGAATATTTTTAAACTTTTTTTTATGATCCCAAGTAAGATTTTCTTTTGCACCTTTCAATTATATTCAAAAAATTGTAGTCCTGTCAATATTTGTTAAAACTCTTTATTTTTGAGAACAAATGCAAAAACTAGAGGTAAATCCGGCAAGTATTATTCATCTAAGTTTTTTACAGACTATAAAAAATATAATTGGAGAATTTACTCAAGAGAACAAATAGTTAGAGCTTTCAACGAATTTAAAGATCTTTCAGAACAAAGACAAAGAACAAAATTCTATAAAAAAAAAAATAATTAATTTATGCATTCGTGAATATGATAATTATTTTGAAAAGCCGCTGTAACAGATTTTCTTTCATATCTATAGCTGGTAAGTTATTTAAGTTCAAACCACTTATACCTTTATACATAATAATAAAAGTTTTTAGCAATAATTTTCCTACCTGATACTATTTTATAACCTGCGAAAATTAAATACAGGTCTATTATTTGGATAAGAACTTGATACCTGGTGGATCCACTTCTACTGTTTCAGCTTTTTCTCGAATATGAAGCGATTTAGCGAAATTTTGTGCAGAATTAAAATGTATACATATTTCAAGCTTTAAAATCTTATTCTCGAAAATGTCGTGATATTTCCGACTCCAAAATAACACACGCTTTTTATAACATATTCAATAATTGATCAGATCAGGTTATTTAGGGTTCAAACATACACTACCAAATATAAACGTGATATGTTGATTACTTTGACGTAAAATGTACTTTAGATTTAACTGTGAAATAACAGAAAATAGATTCTTAATTCATAGAAAAAGAATTCTTATTTTTCGATGCTTTATTGCCCCTAAGGTTTATGGTATGTTATTCTGAAACGCCATGTTTTTACTTGAAAAATAAGCATTGCTTACATTGTATTTTCCGATATTCAACAGATGATATTGTGAGAAACGACTACTTTGCGGGCTAACGCTTCGACCAGCATTGAATTACACCCGCAATATCCAGTAAACAGATACATCAGCAGAACCACCAGGCATATACTGGTTTCGAACTTAATACTTAGTTCCAATTAGTATACCCTTGGTGAGACAACAATGATTCAGCTATTTCTGATATCTTAACTACAGCCATGGAATGGATGGATGCAACAGTGTTATATATCTCATATTCTTACGGTAAACAATTATCTGAAATGTTACATTCTAAAAATGTGAATAGAATAAATCATCACCTGACAACTGTCCCGATTTACTTTATATTTTTCTCACAAAGGTACAGTACAATATGTATGGAGTAAAACATATGCAAGGATTGAAAGACGATGTTATTGAAAAGGTATTTAAGTACATGGGTGTAGAATATCCAAACGCAAAACAAACTTTAAACATGTATACTCTCTGTAAATATATATCTGTGGAGATCGAAACTTACAAATTATTGATACAAAATCAAATATTAGCACTCGACCTACCTGTGGACTATGTTGGCGAGTAGATCGTTATGCTTCAATTTGTAATCCGTAGGAACCTTTTCGTAATTTACAGTGAGCGTTCCCGCTTGTATACACCTTTCGTACTCCTCCGCTGGATGTGCCCTGAATTCTCTGGCAAATACGTCCAGAATTCGCTCTCCGACCCATCGTCCTTTGGTAAACGTTGTAAATGTAAAGTAGTACGGGTACACCTTCCTTAATCCTTAAATTGAAAACAAATAACTTAGCTATAATGTACACAAACGATAGGGATTATGTTCTTAAAATATGTATCTTTTAATTATCTCACTTATTTTGGGGGCGGTATAGATTTTAACAATGAATACTACAGGGTGTTCCGAACTTTAACCATGAAAATTCTGGAGTCTATAAATGAAATAAAAATAGTGATAATTTGATGAATAATATTCCTTTCCAAACTCCACCGTTTTTGAACAAATGCAGATAATGAAACGAAATTTGAAGTGCCCAATATACAAGGTGACCAACTCCTCAAAGTGAAAATCCGGGACAAAAAAAAAGTTGTCAAACAGGTGAAGATGTGTACCTGGCCTAGTACACTTTACTTTAAATTTATATTATGTTTGGCTGTGAATAGCTTTTAACGCTATTTCGTTTTGAAATAAATATCTATAAAACAGGTAAAATTATTATGACATCTTGTTATAATTATACACTGTACTGTCTCTACATTAAATTCAGTTTCTGAGATTTATTTCAGGTTATATATTGAATCGAATACTATTGAAAACGCCATTCCAGTACAAATCGGTATGAAACAAATTTTTCGATATTCTCTTGTATTGTAATAAATCTGTTAATAAAGGTAACACCTCGAACAAACAACAAAAATGAGTGCTTCAGGATATTGTTCAAACGCCCTCGTTTGTCACGTTGTTGTGTCCTGTATAATTTTAAATTTATCTAAATGTATCTTTACCAATTTATTAATTTGTGCTAAATCAGCAAAAGCTATTCAAAAAAATTAAGTCATTTTTGTTCCAAATAAAATTTGAATTTGGATTATTTTATTTCAAAAAACGATGCGGTTTTGAAAAGAAGTTTATAAATATAACAAAGTTCCGTTATTTTCACTTCCTCTACAGGCTGTTACAAATTCGCTTCTCACTGCATGAATCTCGGAAAACGTAAGAGATACGAAGTAGCATAAATGGGGGCCAAATTGCACAATCAGGGGTCCAACAATATGCCTCTAAAAAATTGAGGCTAACATGGTTAGTTTTCGAAATATTTGAAAAAAACGAAATTTTGGAAATCTGTTTTTGTTTCATTTCAACCTTGTCTGAGGTGATATTGAAAAAAGAACACTTTCTCATGGCCACTTTTTGCCCTCTATCGAATGGCATAATCAATTTTTATATGTAACGTTTCATCTCTCCAGGACCATCATCAACTTCATTTTTTAAATACGATCCTGGAAATTTTATTACATTTTTTGCAAGCCTTCATATTCCCCAATACTGTACTGCTTCAGCTCGAACCAGATTTAGACGTTTTGTCTCAGAAAATCCATCTTCAATGTATTCATTCCATATTGTCGTTAGACCCTATGAAATCCACCTAATTATTTAAACTATTACCATCATACGTTACAATAAAACATTATTATAGAGTTTTAATCCCGTGCTCATATGTGTTTAAGTATTTGTAGGTTTCTCAAGTGCTCAAAATTCAAACAAATCTGGATCTATTTTTTTTCAGGATATTCATACAAATACATCTGACATGCTCTTTCACAGTTGCGGTTACAGGTAAGTATAATAAATTCCGATCATATGCTTATCTTCATTTTCAACATTTGCCGCAAAACGGAAATGTTTTTGAACATTTACTTACTGTAATTTTTTAAAATATAATACTCATTTGGTGTTTTGGTTGTCCATATGCATTTTTAAGAATTAATTTGACATAATGAAATTAAAATTGTAATAATGTTATATTTTGACGCAACTTGTCGAATTATGTATGACCAGGCGATGGAGATTAATAATGGTTTATTGTAACGTGTAATGGTAATAGTTTTAATAACTAGGTGGATTTCACAGGATCTAACCACACTTAGAGTGTACTACAATAATTCAAGAAACATAGAAATCTAAATAAAAAATTAGATAAATTTAGAACAAATGCATTGGAGAAGAATTTTTGGAGATAAAACGTCTGAATCTGATTCGGTCTGCGGCAGTACAGTATTGGGGGTCGTGAAGGCTTGCAATTAATGTAATAAAATCTCTATGGTCGTATTTAAAAAAATGATTTTGATGATAGTCCTGGTGCGACGAAACGTTACATATAAAAATTGATTATGCCATTCGAGAAAAGTTGCCATGAGAAAGTGCATAATGTTGGTCCCTTGATTATGTAACTTTTACCCCATTTAAGCTACTTCGTATCTCTTTTCCAAGATCCTTGTAGTGAGAAGCGAATTTATAACAGCCTGTATAGATTTCTGAATGTTTGTGGCTAAAATTCGAGACACTCCTACAAATTTCCTATTTGTTCTCAAAATCTTAAAAATACTACTACTATTTTGATTTTATATGTATTCAGCATGTTCAGTTTTTAGGAANAACATGCATGTTATATCTTAACAGGTAACGTTAACAACCCTGAAATAACATAACTGTTATTATGATAAAATGGGATACATACTCGGCCTGAATGAAACGAAATTTGAAGTGCCCAATATACAAGGTGACCAACTTCTCAAAGTGATAATCCGGGACAAAAAAAAAGTTGTCAAACAGGTGCAGATGTGTACCTGGCCTGGTATAGCTACTTTATTTAAATTTATATTTTGTTTAGCTGTGAATAGCTTTTAACGCTTTTTCGTTTTGGAAACAGGTAAAATTATTATGACATCTTGTTATAATTATACACTGTACTGTCTCTACATTAAATTCAGTTTCTGAGATTTATTTCAGGTTATATAGCGAATCGAATACTATTGAAAACGCCATTCCGGTACAAATCGGTACGAAACAAATAAATCCGGTACAATTCCGGGACACTTTATTTCCCGACACACGTTCTAAAAACTGGAACCTTCCCGGCCAATCCGGTACGGTTGGTCACCTTGCAATATATGAACAAAACGGCATTTAAAGCGGAAATGACTAAGTTTCAACTTGAACTAAGGGCATAGATGCCGGTTACATTTCCGTTGAAAATTATGGTATGGCACTGAAACATTTTTTGGTCATTTTTTAAATGCAAATTTTATTTTAAACGAAAAAGATTTTTTATACGGCTTCTACCATTTTGGCACAAATTAACAAAGGTTAAAGATTATACGTTTAAATTCTTGTAAATGCAGAATTTGCTTAAATGATTTGTATTTGCACAAATACATTTTTCGATATTCTCTTGTATTGTAATAAATCTGTTAATAAAGGTAACACCTCGAACGAACAACAAAAATGAGTGCTTCAGGATATTGTTCAAACGCCCTCGTTTGTCACGTTGTTGTGTCCTGTATAATTTTAAATTTATCTAAATGTATCTTTACCAATTTATTAATTTGTGCTAAATCAGCAAAAGCTATTCAAAAAAATTACATCATTTTTGCTGCAAATAAAATTTGAATTTGGATTCTTTTATTTCAAAAAACGATGCGGTTTTGAAAAGAAGTTTATAAATATAACAAAGTTCCGTTATTTTCACTTCCTCTACAGGCTGTTACAAATTCGCTTCTCACTGCATGAATCTCGGAAAACGTAAGAGATACGAAGTAGCATAAATGGGGGCCAAGTTGCACAATCAGGGGGCCAACAAAATGCCTCTAGAAAATTGAGGCTAACATGGTTAGTTTTCGAAATATTTGAAAAAAACGAAATTTTGGAAATCTGTTTTTGTTTCATTTCAACCTTGTCTGAGGTGATATTGAAAAAAGAACACTTTCTCATGGCCACTTTTTGCCCTCTATCGAATGGCATAATCAATTTTTATATGTAACGTTTCATCTCTCCAGGACCATCATCAACTTCATTTTTTAAATACGATCCTGGAAATTTTATTACATTTTTTGCAAGCCTTCATATTCCCCAATACTGTACTGCTTCAGCTCGAACCAGATTTAGACGTTTTGTCTCAGAAAATCCATCTTCAATGTATTCATTCCATATTGTCGTTAGACCCTATGAAATCCACCTAATTATTTAAACTATTACCATCATACGTTACAATAAAACATTATTATAGAGTTTTAATCCCGTGCTCATATGTGTTTAAGTATTTGTAGGTTTCTCAAGTGCTCAAAATTCAAACAAATCTGGATCTATTTTTTTTCAGGATATTCATACAAATACATCTGACATGCTCTTTCACAGTTGCGGTTACAGGTAAGTATAATAAATTCCGATCATATGCTTATCTTCATTTTCAACATTTGCCGCAAAACGGAAATGTTTTTGAACATTTACTTACTGTAATTTTTTAAAATATAATACTCATTTGGTGTTTTGGTTGTCCATATGCATTTTTAAGAATTAATTTGACATAATGAAATTAAAATTGTAATAATGTTATATTTTGACGCAACTTGTCGAATTATGTATGACCAGGCGATGGAGATTAATAATGGTTTATTGTAACGTGTAATGGTAATAGTTTTAATAACTAGGTGGATTTCACAGGATCTAACCACACTTAGAGTGTACTACAATAATTCAAGAAACATAGAAATCTAAATAAAAAATTAGATAAATTTAGAACAAATGCATTGGAGAAGAATTTTTGGAGATAAAACGTCTGAATCTGATTCGGTCTGCGGCAGTACAGTATTGGGGGTCGTGAAGGCTTGCAATTAATGTAATAAAATCTCTATGGTCGTATTTAAAAAAATGATTTTGATGATAGTCCTGGTGCGACGAAACGTTACATATAAAAATTGATTATGCCATTCGAGAAAAGTTGCCATGAGAAAGTGCATAATGTTGGTCCCTTGATTATGTAACTTTTACCCCATTTAAGCTACTTCGTATCTCTTTTCCAAGATCCTTGTAGTGAGAAGCGAATTTATAACAGCCTGTATAGATTTCTGAATGTTTGTGGCTAAAATTCGAGACACTCCTACAAATTTCCTATTTGTTCTCAAAATCTTAAAAATACTACTACTATTTTGATTTTATATGTATTCCGCATGTTCAGTTTTTAGGAAAACTTAAAAGTAGCCATAAATAC